GGCTACTACTACTACTACTACTACTACTACTACTACTACTACTACTACTACTACTACTACTACTACTACTACTACTACTACTACTACTACTACTACTACTACTACTAATAATACTACCACACCTACTACTATTTTTAGTCAAACTTTCATGTTTCATGCTTACACATTGATTAGTAAGTCATAGCATCGCTTCGTCGGGTGGCGGACATATTTTTTTGATCTGCGTCTGACGCTTTGCCGCGGGCGGAAGTACCTATTTTCGCGGTTCCGCGGTGCTACAGATCTCGTTCCGTGCGGGGCGGGCGCAATACTTGGGATGGGGAGGGCGTGCGGAACGGCTGTCGGTGTTTCGAACTTTTTGGGTGGGCCTGTCCTCAGAATTTGAATGTTTAGATTGTCAGGACTCGTGCACATGTGTTTCCTTTTGAAGACGAAAGTGAGCGGCGGGCGCTAAGGCGAGAACCATGTTTTGAAACCGAGCCGCCCTCAATCTGTGCAGCTCGCGCAAATTGTTATAGTGGGTGTGCGCGGCGCGGAGGCGGGAGCCAAATATTGAAACCGAGCCGCACTCAATTCGTGAAGCTCGTGCAAACTTGCAAAAACGAATGCCCGCGGCGCTGGGGCGAAAGCTAGATTTTGAAATCGAGCCGCTTTCACTCCGTAAAGCAAGTGGACATCTCTAACAGAGAATGTGCGCGGCCCTGGGGCGAGAGCTAGATTTTGAAACCGAGCCGCCCCCAATCCGTGAAACTCGTGCATATTGTTTTTGAGTATCTTAAAACACGTGCGCAGCGCTCCGGCGAGAGCGAGAGTTTGAAACCGAACCGCCTTCAATCCGCGAGCTTCGTATACATTTTGATAGCGAGTGCGCGCGGCGTTGAGGCGAAACCAACATTTTGAATCCGAGCCGCCCTCATTCCGTGAAGTTCCGTGCCCATTTTTATAACGAGCGCGCGCGGCGCTAAGGCGAGAGTTCGATCTTGAACCCGAGCCGTCCTCAATCCGTGAAATTTGTGCCCATTCTTTTTTATACATATATGTATGTGTGTTTCATAAAAAATGCGCGCGGCGCTGAAGCGAGAGCTAGATTTTGAATTCGAGCCGCCCGCACTCGGTGAAACCAGTGCACATTCAAGAAAACGAATGTGTGCGGCGCTGAATCGAGAGTTAGATTTTGAAGCCGAACCGCCTTCAATCCGTGAAACTCGTGCACCATTTTGAGGGGGCAAAAACGAATGTGCGCGGCGCCTCGCCCAATCCGTGAAATTCGCACAACGTTTTAAGAAGTTCATGTACGCGGCGCTGGGGCGAGAGCTGGATTAAACAAGTGACCGCCTTCAATCCGTGACACTCGTGCAGCAAAAAAAAGAGTGTGCGCGGCGTTGAGGCGAGAGCTAGATTTTGAAACCGAGCATCCATCATACGTGAAACGCGCGCACATGTTTACAGCGAGTGCGCGCGGCTCTGTGGCGAGAGCTAGATTTTCAAAACGTTCCGCGATCAATCCGTATATTACTTGCACATTTTCTCAGTGAGTGTGCGTGGCGCCAAGCGAAACCTAGATTTCAAAAACGAGAATAGTGGAATGATTTTTGTTGTGCTGTTTGCGCGGTGCTAAACATATCACTCCGCTGAAATCATCCGTGGGATTTATGTTACGCGGTGCTACGATATCGGGGGGGCGTTTCTTGAATATTTATTAGGGCTATGTATTATTATGTAATCTTGCTTAGTCGAGTGCAGTCGGGCTTATTCCTGGGCTTGGGTTGGGCTAGTGTCAGGCCGATGGCCCCCCAATCGAATGTAATGGCTTTGAGCCGATTTTGCAAAGAACTCTCACGATTTGTCTCCTGACTGATCCTGGTTGCCCGATCGCCGCAGGGAGAAGGGTCGGCTCCCAGGGCCGGCGACTCCGGCTCAGCTGCGGCGGCCGCCGCGGCCCTCGCCGGCGCCAGGTTGGCCAGGGCGGCGCCAAAAACACAAGCACACTGCGCGTGACATCCCCAGTTGCTTCGCCCCCAGACTCGGAGAATCGAAGGATCCCCACCATTCCACCAAACCCCACCAGCGGAGGGCGCAGGGCGAGTTGAGGCAACAGTGGTTGGCCTTCCGGGGCCTCCCCCTCGTCACCATGGTTGGACGCAGCTCGGGGAATTGGTGCCTTTGGGTCCCAAGAGGGGTCCGTGGACAGATTTTGAGTTGCCGTTGTCTCAACTCGCCCTGGAGACAGATAAGCATCGCCTAACATGTCCTCGTTCCCTATGGGCCAGAGTACCTACGGCCCCACCAACCCACACCCTCCTGGGTGGGTATAGGCCCCGCGATACGCGAAGGAACAGGCATATATTATCCACGGTTCCGATTCCCCCCTCTCATGTTGGTGCCTTCGGGCCCCTCCCTCTCCTGCGCGATGGTTGCCCCTCCTTGGGTCGTGGATTTGTGGTGGTGGTGGTCGTCGTCGTTGTCGTCGCCGTCGTCGGGGGAGGGGCCCTGTAAACCCTCGACCCGGACCGTCTGGCAGGCTGGGAGCGAATTGCTCCGCGGCCCTGGGTGGGGGCGCCTCGGGATCCGCCGCCCCCCTCGTGAAGAGGAAGAGGGGAAGGCAAAAAGGCAGTATAGAAGGAGGAGGAGGATGAGGAGGAGAAGTAGGAAGAGGTGAAGAAGCTTAATGCTTAAGAGGGGGTGGTTGTGATGAAGAGAAATAGGAGGGGGCGGACGAGGAGGAGAGGGAGGATGACGAGGACAGGATGAGGACGAGGAAAGTGGAACAGGCGGAAGAGGAGACTAATGAAGAGCAGGGTCTCGAATTGTTGCTGTTTCACCGCCGTCGTCACCATCAATCTAAATGCAATGTTAATACTTGGGGATATGTACGCAAGCGCCCCCATACACGCACGAATGGCCCAAGATAGCCTTCTCAAGGATCGGTGATATGTCGGTGATATATCCAGATGGAGGCGGGCAGTAACAAATATATGTATATATGTATATATACACGCAGGTACTGTGTGTGAGAGAGAGAGAGAACAATGAATATATTGAGAGAGGGAGAGAAAACCGACATTGAGAGAGGGAGAGAGAGCAAAGAGAGAGAGAGAGAGCACACAAGTATTCTTCGTACACGCGTGACGAGATTATGCATGATACGCCCACACATACATTAGTGTGTACACCTTGGGGGGATGCGGTGCCTACATGTAATGTGTATTAACATGGTGTACAGAGAAAGAGAGAGAGAGAGAGAGAGAAAGAGGGAGAGAGAGAGAGAGAGGGAAACCGAGAGGAAACACCGAGTACCACATTGATAATCACGCGTATCTTTCTAAATGCATGTATCACTTTGCAGACAGACAGGCTCACCCATCTATATCTAGTCCTATAGACCTATACGTGCAGACATAGATACGACCGTCGAAGCAACCGTGCGAGAGAGAGAGAGAGAGATAGAGAGGGTGAGGGATAAGTGGAGGGAGATTCTGCAACCCAGATATATCGACAGAGAGAGGGGGCCTCTCCGAGGGAGGGCGAGTTCGAGGTCCCGAGGGACCTTGCCTAGATAGGGCCTCCAGGCGAGCTATTCCTCCTCGCCCCTGCGACGCGGGGCTGGCACCCCCAAGGCGAGTGCCCACGGGGGCTGCTCCCAGCGGCTTGCCCTCGCCGTCCTGGGCGCGCTGCGGCAGCACGCCGCGTCCCAGAGGCTCGGGGGGCGGCGACGGCGACGAGGATCACGACGTCGTCGACGAAGACGACGACGTCGTCGTCGTTGAGTTTTCGGACGACGGTGTCGGCTCCCGGGCGCGTTTTCTTGCCTCGGGCTGTGCTCCAGCAGCTGCGCCTCGACGTGAGCTTTCCCAGGGTGCCCGGGTCGTCCCGCCGGAGACCCGAGTTTTGACCCGAAAGCTAGACGGCGACTCGACGATAACGACATCGGGCGGCGCGGCAGCAGCTCGGCGGAGCGGGGGGTGCGGGGGGCGCGTCCGTTGTGACCACCCCCCCTTTTGCGGGTTTCGTCGTCGTCTCGTCACTCCGCCGTCGTCTTCGTCGCCGTCTTCGTCGTCATCTTCGTCGTCGTCGCCCTCGTCCCGCGGGCAGGTGTGTCGCCAGGGCCTTCGCGGACCTGCCGGCTCGGGCGGGGGCGCGCCTGGTCCCAAAGGCGCGGGCAGGGGCAGGGGGGGAGAGAGATTGAGGAACGGCGGGAAGAAGGAGGGGAGGAATAAGATGGCGATGAGGAGGGAAAGGAAGGAGAGGGAGGAGGAGCTGAAAGAGGAGAAGGAGGAGGAACAGGAAAGAGCGGGAGGAGGAGGTGGAGCTGGAAGATGAGGACATCGTGATTTTCATTACCGACCTTCGCTTCAGAGAAGCCAGCATCAACACCTACATCAACACCGACCAGACCTATACAACGGACTTCGGTTTCAATTCCAACGTGCCCGTCTTTACGCCTGCGATCATCACGGGCGTATTCAACGCCAACGCCAGCCACAACGAGGAGGGCGCCATCTTCACCTTTTCCAGCTCCGCCGCCTACGTCAAGGATGACATCGAGCGCGTGGAAGAGGGCGAGGACGGCCGCACCAGAGCAGCTACGACCACGATCCCTTGAGCAACACCCTCGGCAACGCCAGCGGCAACAGCGTCGGCGGCTAAATCTCATGCCTCGCCTTCGGCAGCAATCGCAGGGACTCCCGCGGCCCACTCCAGCCAGAAGGACCGCCGGACCATCCTCGTCGAGACCCGCTGCGGGTCACTGGACATGTCTGTAATCCAGGCCACGTTCTCCATGTTTGGGCCCCACCGAAGCCATCGACGCCAAAGGCAACCGGACGACGGTCCACCGTGCGCTATTCGTCACCCGAGTCCGCACACAAGTCCATTGTGGACCGCCTCCACGGTGCGAAACTATTGAACCAGGAGTACAAGATTATCTTCTCGGGCCACCCGCTGGAGAGTCCCTACAAGCACGAGAAAGAGCACCGTGTCATCCATCCCGATTGCGACTCGTAAGCCTGCGGCGGCGATGGCCCGACAGGCGGCGAGGTGGACCCAGGGGATTACGAGGATTGCCGTAACAAAGCACGGGGGCCGCGTCAAGGCGCACCAGGAGTTCTAGGCTCGCATGAGCATCGTTAGCGACTTATTCCAGCACGAGCCGTTCACCCGGGGGCGCATGTTTGCCCAAGCGGACGCGGCGACCGAACGGCCACATAGAGAGGTGGCGGAACCGTCCCGCACCCTGCAGAGGCTTTTCAAAACGTTCGTCCGCCTGGAGACCTGCGTCTGAACCAAGGCCAGGTGCTTCGCGCACGTGAGTGCCCACGACTCCGGTCTGCGGGTCTCCATCGGGAACGGCACGCTTCTCGGTTCTTCTCACCCTCCGCCCCCCCCCCCAACGACGAGGTGTACAGGCGGGGACTTGCAATGCTCAGCGCGCTGTCCAGACCAGCTCCCTCCCTCCACCCAAGCCTGTCTCCTCTGTGTCTCAGCGGTTTCAACTGCTAAGCCAACAGAGAAACATACACAAAACACCGCTGTGGCCCTCTTCAGGGAGATCGGGGAGGTTGCGATGGTGTCTCGCCAAACTCCAAAGTAGGGCGACCGAACAGCAGCCGGCCCGCCTTTCAGACATTCGCTGCGCGGGCCCGTGGCTGCGCAGGCTTGCTGCTCACGTCTCATCGCCACCGCGTCTCACCGCCGCTGCTTCTCACTTCCTACCGCCGCGCGGAGCGCACCGCCGCCCCTGCGGCGGCTGTGGGAGCGGCGGCGCCGCTTATTTGGTGACGAAGGAGGGCGGAGGAGGACTTTTGAAGCGCAGTAGAGGAGGGAGAGGAGGACGAGGAGGAGGACGAGGAGGAGGAGGAGGAGGAGGAGGAGGAGGAGGACGAGGAGGAGGAGGAGGAGGAGGAGGAGGAGGATGACGCGGAGGTGGACGAAGAGGCGCACGATGCACATGAGGAGGCGAAGGAGGAGGATGAGGAGGAGGAGGAGGAGGAGGAGGAAATAGAGAAGGGACGAGCAGGGAGGCGGAGGAGGCGGAGGCGCAAAGCCAATCTCGAGGCGTTCGCGGCCTTGCGGCGGCTGTGGGAGCGGCGGCGGCGCCTGTCGGCCCTGCGCGCCCTGGAGCGTGGGCGGGCCGCGGCCGGGGCGCTGAGGGCCTGGGCGGCGGCGGCCAGGCCGCCTTCGGGCCGCTCGGCCTCGCTTGGCGATGACGACGACGGAGAGCGACGACGAGCGACAACGACGACGACGACGACGACGACGACGGTGACGACGACGACGACGCCTCACAAATTTGGCACCCTTTTTCCTTCTCTTCCTCCTCCTCCTCCTCTTCCTCCTCCTCCTCCTCCCCCTCCTCCTCTTCCTCCCCCTCCTCCTCCTCCTCCTCCTCCTCCTCCTCCTCCTCCTCCACCTCCTCGTGCAGAAGCGCAACTTCACCAAACACATTGTTCGCTTCGACGCTGAGATGCGGCGCGCAGGTTTACTCCCTGGAGCTCTTCAAGCCAAGCCCGTCTTCGCGAGCTTCGATTTCTCTGCCGCCTTCCCGTCCTTGGGGCGGCTCTTCGCCGCGCTGGAGCACTTCGGGTTCCCGACTGGCCTCATGAACTTCTTCCGTGCGCTGTACTTTGCGCCGGACAGCTACATCCAGATCGACGGCGTCACGCACACCATGTTCGCCATAGAGTCTGGAGTTGCGCAAGGCTGTCCTGCTTCGGGCTCGGCCTGGGCCATCGTCATGGACCCGCTCATCCGCCACCTCGCCCCACGTTTGCGGAGCACCACTACGGCACGCCGAATCTGGACGCTGCCTACCTCGGCGCCTGCGCGGACGACATCGGGCTGCTGACATACTCCTTCGACACGCTGCGCCGCGCATCTGAGCCTTCTGCCGCAGCTGAGGAGCTTGCGCTCCTCTCGCTTCAGCATCGCAAATGTTTCATCGTTCCGCTCTGGGCCGCGGCGACCCCAGACACCATTGCCCAAACCAAAACCCTTTGGCCGAGCTCGGACCTTCCTTGGGTGGTTTCCCGGTTGCGGGCTGTGCTAAATACCTCGACACGTTCCTCGGTCCCGAGGCCTCGCTGGCTTCGCAGTGGCTCCCACCAGGGCAAAAATGGTGGCAACGGGGAAATCTTCTACACCTCGTGCAGGGTGGCAGTGACGCCACAGCTCGCCTTTATAATTCCTCAGTCCTGTCCACGCTCAGCTATGTCGCCCAGTTCTTTCCGCTTCAGCCGTTGATCGCCCACCGTGAACATTATGTTTTCCATAAGATGCTTAGCCTGCCGCCGAACTCACTTCGCAAAGTTGAGTTCGTAGCCATGGCGAGGTGGAGCCCGCCGCCCACAGTCCGCTCAGGTCACATCTGTCGCTGCCGCTGCCCGTTCTGCTGCCGTCACTCTCGCGGGTGACTGGGAGCCGTTTGCCGATCGCCTCGCCGACACACCATGGGAGGAAACCTCCCTTCAGAACGCGCCTTGCTGGCAGGCTGGCGTGTGGTCGCCCGCTTTCTGGTCGTCTCAGCAGTCCATCGTACAGTACTATCGCTTCCTCATCGGAGCCCAGCCTCAGAAACCGTTCACCCGCCCAGCCGTCTCAGCCGCTTTGCACGCCGCTCGCCTCGAACAGCGCGAGGCCGCAGCTGCCGCCCCGCCGCGTCGCGCGAAGTACCAGCGCACGTTTGCACGCAAGCTTGCAGAGCAAGCTTTCGCCTCAGCCGTTTATCGTCACCCTGCTCAAACGCATCTCGGCCTGGGGCCTTTAGGCGCCGACGGCGCCAGGAGAGCTACCAAAGCTCTGGTCAGCGCCCACGGAGTCGCTCAAAACGGTGCGCCCCAGCTGGCGCCGGGCCACGTTTAAGACCCTCAGCTGTGGCTGGACTACCACTGGCCGTACGCACGTGCTCGCCCCAAAACAATGCGTTTTCGGGTGCGGGAGCCAGCCAGATTGATTTCCCCACGACTTCACCTGCCACTCGCTCTCGAGCCTCCTCTGGTCCCCTGATCCTCCCTTCCTCCGCTCGACGTTCGCAGCCTGGGGCCTTGGGCCTGCAGTTGCGTACCCGCCCGAGAATCCGAATCCGCTGTCGTTGCGCCCGACGGTTGGGCGCATCACGTTAGCGTTTCACGTCTATAACAAAATGGAGCATCACGCTGGCCCGAGCCCACGCCCTGCGGCGATGGCCGCAGCGAGCCGAGTTGCCAAATCACTATCGGTGAGAGAGCTGGCGACGGGCACTGCGGACGTACATCATTTGCCCTCGTTTTGCTTCGTGCCCGATTGCCCTCTTCTCGCCTCTTTCAGGGTACCTTAACTCCTCCTCCACCACCACCTCCTCCTCCTCCTCCTCCTCCTCCTCCTCCTCCCCATCCTCCTCCTATCTCCCCCCGTGCCCGAGTCTGGGGCCATTGCAGATTGTTGCCGTCACGGCAGCGTCCCGCGGTCACATTTACTGAGTCATCGTTTGTTAACCGTTAGTTGCCATCGGTCCGTCGCAACTTACGCTACCGAGGAACCCCACATACTGATGTTACGTCTTGTGTGAGCCGCGCTACCACTAGCACCGCCGTCATCCTCTCAGGTGCCCCCCTGTGGTCGTTGAAAGGAGGGGGCGAGCTCAGGGACCACCCCATGCGCACCCCTTACGGACTCGCGAAACGGCCACGCCTGCTAAACTTTGCGACAGTGACGTGGATAGCGGCCGCGCTCAGGGACCACCCCCTGCGCACCCCCTTTGGTGTCGAGAAAGTGCCACGGGTGCGAGGCGTTGCGACAGTGTCGTGGATAGCGGCCGCGCTCAGGGACCACCCCCTGCGCACCCCCTCCGGTGTCGAGAAAGTGCCACACCTGCTAAACTTTGCGACAGTGACGTGGGTAGCGGCCGCGCTCAGGGACCAACCCCCTGCGCACCACCTACGGTGTCGTGAAACTGCCACGCCTGCCAGGCTTTGCGACAGTGTCATGGATAGCGGCCGCGCTCAGGGACCACCCCCTGCGCACCCCCTACGGTGTCGAGAAAGTGCCACGCCTGCTAGGCTTTGCGACAATGTCGTGGATAGCGGGCGAGCTCAGGGACCACCCCCTGCGCACCCCCTGCGGTGTCGTGAAACTGCCACGCCTGCTAGGCTTTGCGCCAGTGTCGTGGATAGCGGCCGCGCTCAGGGACCACCCCCTGCGCACCCCGTCTTGTGTCGAGAAAGTGCCACGCCTGCTATGATTTGCGACAGTGTCGTGGATAGCGGCCGCGCTCAGGGACCACCCCCTGCGCACCCCCTCTGGTGTCGAAAAAGTGCCACGCCTGCTAGGCTTTGCGACAGTGTCGTGGATAGCGGCCGCGCGCAGGGACCACCCCCTCCGCACCCCCTACGGTGTCGTGAAACTGCAACGCCTGCTAGGCTTTGCGACAGTGTCGTGGATAGCGGCCGCGCTCAGGGACCACCCCCTGCGCACCCCCTTTGGTGTCGAGAAACTGCCACGCCTGCTAGGCTTTGCGACAGTGTCGTGGATAGCGGCCGCGCTCAGGGACCACCCCCTGCGCACCCCCTGCGGTGTCGACAAAGTGCCACGCCTGCTAGGCTTTGCGACAGTGTCGTGGGCAGCGGCCGCGCTCAGGGACCACCCCATGCGCACCCCCTCTGGTGTCGTGAAACTGCCACGCCTGCTAGGCGTTGCGAGAGTGTCGTGGATAGCGGCCGCGCTCAGGGACCACCCCCTGCGCACCCCCTACGGCGTAGTGAAACTGCAACGCCTGCTAGGCTTTGCGACGGTGTCGTGGATAGCGGCCGCGCTTAGGGACCACCCCCTGCGCACCCCCTCTGGTGTCGAGAAAGTGCCACGCCTGCTAGGCTTTGCGACAGTGTCGTGGATAGCGGCCGCGCTCAGGGACCACCCCCTGCGCACCCACTACGGTGTCGTGAAACTGCCACGCCTGCTAGGCTTTGCGACAGTGTCGTGGATAGCGGGCGAGCTCACGGACCACCCCCTGCTCACCCCCTACGGTGTA